GCTATTAATGTAGGTTGTTTTGACTGATTTGATTTGATTGAGTCCTAGGTTGGTTTTATTTATTTATTTATTGAGTCCCACTCGGTTTCAGTCGCGTACTGCGCAGCAATGCCCGGAATGACCGGCTGTGGCAAACAGCGGACGCGGTGCGGACGTTGATCAGCGCCACCCGACTTCATCCCTTACGACAACAGCGAGAATTTCACTTTTTGGAATCAACGTAGTTCAACGCACGTAAACGTATGCTAGAGACGCCTTCCGATTAGCCAGCACTTAGGAGTAGCGCCTACTGCTCCTGATGGCGACACTATGGCCTTGACAGTTAACATGGCTAAGCCTAATTCGCGAGCACGCTACATGCCTTAGCACTTTTCTCTACGACGTACTGCATCTCCTCTAGCACACTATCAGCCAGTCCATGCTAGTAGACGTTGTCAGCGACATTATCTGCGAATTGCTGACGTTTACCCTGAAGATGCAGCACACGCTGGACCTAAGTGCCGTCTCTAACGCGCTTAACATTGCATAGACTGTGGCTAATGCCACAGCGTGACATACGGCGCAGGCCCTTGATGAAATTAAGACTGAGCTCAAGTCTACTATAGAACTTGTTTAATAGTCAGCTGCGAGCATACAACAGAGTGGCAACACGGTAGAGAAGGCGAGGGCGGCAGCTAAAGACGCTACAGAGGTGAGTCAAGCAACGCTGGAGATAGCATAAGAGATTAGGAACAAGAGACCACAACAGCAGACGAATGGACTATTGAGCTACGCTGCGGCGGCAGCTAGGGGTGTCTTGCTAGCAGGTACATACAATGCACAAAGTGTTAGACAGCTATCTACGCAGATGCAGCGTGAGGTTATTATGAACGTTAGAGACCTGCTCACTGTACAGAGCCTAAGGGCAATGAACCCTAGCAATCTTAAACTACATGTCTAGTGTGCCAACCTCCGTATAATACCGCAGAACTGCAGTATGAACAGCATCGTTATTAGGCGTTGCCTAAGGGAGCAGAAGAACTGTAGAGGAGCAGAAATGGGCAACGAGATTCGAATTTCGAATTTTCCAATATAGAGATATTGAAAAGGGTAAATTACTCCAGTTCCACACAGATCGCATCGGTGGTTTAGTGGAACTATCGACCACTCCAGCTATATGAAGAGTTTCTTTTGCTTTCCCCGCACAAGCACAGCGGCAAGACAACGCACCTCATCCTCGACGGGTTCTTGACCATGAGATATCCCGACAATGCAGATGCGAAGAAGGAGACCCTCGGAGTAGGAGAGCAGCGGGATGTCGAAGTGTGAGTTGGACCGGAAAGGTATACGTACATCATCGGCGAGTGACCTCAGTATACAACGCCTCTTGCACGCAAAACTCTATTCTTGAACACAAAAGGTGCCACGTATCCCCTCGGTTTGCGGGGTTTGTGGATCGAGCGCGCCTCGTTGAATCAATTACTTCCCTCGAAGGGTCCATGATCCCCACGGCAGTGACTAATAAACATCGCGAGAACGCAGGAGCAAAGACACAGTATTAATAGAAACCAGGTAAGTTGATGCCACATACGGAAGCCCGACTTGCCAAGTCTTAGTCCAACCATGGCTCCCAGGACTACCAATGCGCCAACGACCCAAACTTGCAAACCGCAGAAACATAAAAAGATGGCTTCACCCTCTACAGACCTTCTAAGGCAATCTTGAAAACAAACAAAGGTCGTAATGTGACAACCGACTGTTTCGGGGGGTGCAGTCGGATCAGACCGGTGATGACTTGGAAGTCTGTCATCGACAGCATGCTCTGAGGTCTGAAGCGAGTCAAGAGAGCCTGTAAAGAAGATTGCCCGGAGTCAGCCTCTGAAGCTCATAGACAGGGGGACTTTTTTCAGGAGCATGTTTTTTCCGTCAACGGTCGAAGCCTCAGAAAAGTCGTAATGCGACCTTCACTCACTACCTACCTTTGCATGTGTGTGTACCAGTGCATCCATCCAACGAGTATGGCACAGCGAGCACGCGCAACGGTTGTCCAAGTTAGGCGTCGTGATGGCATTCGCATTCGCACTCGAGACTTTGGTGTAGAACATAGACGGTCGCGGTTGACAGACTTGAACGGCAGAAGCTGCATGCGACGGTCAGTGTATAGTGCAAAGGTGAATGAGGAAGGAAACTAAGCCCGAAGGTGTGCAAGAGAGAGAAGGAGGTCTGAACAGACGCATCGAGACTGCACAACCGACTTGCAATGATCGAAAGGCTTGTTTGCAAGGTATGTTGGTCGTCAGGTGCTGTAGGAAGCGGTGACTGGTATGGCAGCGTGGGACAAGTATCAATAAGGCCGAAGTCGATGCCACTATGAGGCCAAGCTAGGTCGAGGTGTGGATGCTCGAAGTATCAGACAAGATGGGGAGAGAGACATTGCAAAAGATGCTCGAGAAAGTTGAGTATGCAAGGGATGGCCAGGTCGGAGAAGGATTCAGGCTTTAATACACCCGATGTAAACACTATAACTATGCTCTTACTCCTGTCTCTCGTGTGCAAGGTACAGTGCTGTGTGTGGAAGCAAGATCTCAGCCGCAACACGTGTGGTGTAGCAGTACTCTTCGTTCACAATAGCAATAACATATAACTATGAGCCGCTCTTGCACGATTGCACAACTAAGTCAGCGTCCCACCTTCCCACGTGCTCACTCGCAGAGTCCATATTGTGTGGTAACCACAGAGCAGTTTGAATGTATTAGCCAATACTCCTACTGCTTGCTACCTTCTCAGTGATCCAACACTCGTGACTTGCCTCGCCCTTCTCACAGAGATACAGCGGCGTAGACACACAATACTTTAACACTTTTAGAGTTTAGGTTATTGTTTATGTAATCTAGCATTTAATTCAGTAAGGTACAGCTATCAATTCTGCTAATATACTAATTGCGTATAATTGTTTCTACATAGTTAGCGTGCTTAGTAGATCAGCAGCGCCTTACGTTAGTATTTAGAATCCCAATTTACGCAACCTCTATAAAGAGACTGCAGAACTGCAGTTTTAATAGCATTACTATTAAGCGTTTTCTAAGGGTCTAGAAGGACTAGAGAATAGCAAAAGCTGGCAGCGGGATTCTACTTATGATTTTTGTGGTATATGACAAGACAGAATCCCACGATTGGATTTCGAGAAACCATGCGCGAATTACAAAACCTTGCACGCTGGATCAGAAGCCACTTGCGAGATGTGTGTGGCAGGTAATGAGAATATAACTCTATCAACCACTTCCCTGGCTCTTGGGTCTTATGCGCTGTCTCAATGCTGGCTTCCTGCAAGGCCGCACTCCAAAGAAGACTCAGACTGTTCAGTCTAAGAGGTGTATAAATGTCAGAAGCATGCCTTGCGGTCAATAGCATTAGCTTCTCTTCGTTACTCGAAGACGTGGTCGGTATCCCAGTGGAGAGTTGCAAATGCAACTTGGACTCGCATGTATATCTTGCAACAGCACACCCGCAGCACCTGCTATGATCTCGATTCTACAAGCCATCATTGAGACGCATCGATTGACTCGGTATACTTGAACGGATGACTTTGGGAGCCTCCGAAGTTGACCGCGACTCTCAGACCAACACCAGCCACTGTAGTGTCGAAGCCTATGCATGTATATATGTTCATATCTGTGAACTTCTGATTCAAAAAGACGTCGCCTGGAACGAATTGGTATGCATCCTCTTGACGCATAGCCGAACGACTTGCTGATGTCTCTCTTCTTGCTACCTAAAGTAACGAAGCCTTCGCCTGTCTATACATCGAGGCCAACCCCAACAGTGTCATCCGTGCCAAATTGGACCTCAGAACTGAAGTCTTTGAACGGATACTGTTCAGATGCGGGAGAGTCACTGGCGCCCTCATTGGTATAAAGAGCTCCACTGTCGCCGTGATAGCCCCACGAAAATCTATACCAACCTGGCATCCCCTTGAACGGGTAGTCTCCGTGACAGAACCTATAACAGAGTCCTAGGCCAAACTCTCTGTCGAACAATCAATCTTCTGAGTGTCGAGAGAAGTATTGAGGACCTACTGGGAAGCTGAATTTGCCAAAACGGTGACTTTGGAATAAGAGAACATCTCAAGTGAAGCAGGAGGAACGCAGTGGTGAGTGCGCATAAATGCTTTCGTCACACTATTGTGCTGCTCGATCACCTCCACAACTAAAGACAGAAGCATAAGCAAAGTATTGCAAATGGAAAAGTGGTTCCCTACCTTGGAAGCTGAACAGTTTTGATGGCCAGGCTCACTGCAAGAGCCACTTGCTGCAAGAGCCTATCTCAATATTCTCAGCTGCTGAAGGACAACGCAGCGATCGAGGTGTCATGTGAGGAGGCTTAGATGACCAATGACTGGGCAGCAGACTCATGATATCCTCACCCAGACGTTCTGAACGGTGCGTTTGAGAGTACTTAATGCAGGTCCAATAGTCTTCATCGACTTCCTGTACGTTTCGACTCAAGTCTAAAAGCTTCCGTACCGCGTCAAGGCTTCCAATACGAGCTGCTTTGTGATAAGGATAAGGCATAGTCGTCCAGACATCAGTGCGCAAAGCCTGATTCACAAAGGTCTTATAAGGTCCCGAGCTAATGAGGTCTCTGCTACTATCAATGAAATCATTCAATGCCTCTATACTGATGTCAGCAATATTAACTTGCTCTACTATCTTCAGGAACATCTCTCTACTCTTGGTCTATCTAGCTTTATAGACCTGTAAAAAAATCTTAAGACGCATTCTTTGCTGAATCTCTAGCTAAAAAAAAAAAAGTGAAGCTTTTAGAACTTCCAATTCTATCTATTAGATAGCAATGTCTACTGCAGTATCGCCATCACAACATCAGTATGCAAGTGAAACAATTCGCGTACAGTGCTCCCCACACGATTAGAGTGTTCTGAGTACTAGCAGCGCCGTACATTTATGTTTTTTACAACGATATAAATCGTACCAATAATGAAAATTCCATGAAACAAATCATCAGCATCGGTGGTTTAGTGGTAAAATTAGCCGTTGCCATCCGCCTCTCACAACGACAGGATAGGACAGTTTCGGCTAGCCCCGGGTTCGATTCCCGGCCGATGCATTTTGCCCTTCGCACCGTCTCCGTGGTGTTGAGGATTTTTTTTGCGGGGATGGTGGAGGGGTGGGGCGTTGAGGTAGAAGGAAAGGGGGGAGTGTGGGTCACGTGCTCGATGACGTGAGTGCCGGTCACCGGTGGTAAGGGCAAGATGGATGGGGGTGTAGGGTTGGGGTGGCTGTTTTTTCGAATGTAAAGAAGGTCGAATGTGGAGGTATAGATGGCTTGTACAATGTAGCTACTATATAAGTAATACAGGTCGACATTTTCTTATCAGATCACCAATAATTGGTTACTCAAGGTGTCCTGGCGCAATGGTAGCGCGTTGGTTTTCGGTTCACGCTGAAACTCGCCAAAGGTTGTAGGTTCGAGCCCTGCGGACATCGTCTTTTTGTTCCTATCCCTCTCCGTAAGGGAGTAGGGGGATATTGTTTTTGTTCCACAGATTGAAGCCAATATACAGCATTGCACGGGTGACGGCGCCTCACGAACGGTGTTGTTGTTTACGATTCAGTTTTTGCATCCCTTACGCAGTGATCTGCCAACCAACTTCAGCACGCGACCACAAATGACAATCGACAAGATGTCGTCATTCCAACCCCATTCATTCCTAACCCTGAGCACACGGTGCCACGGCTACACGAGTTTCATCGACAATGGTCGCGGGCAGGAGATTGCGAGTCGACAGCCGTTTTCGCTTGCAAAGCTCGTCGATCTGTGGCCGTTGTCGACATGAAACGGTCGTACCAAAGTCTAGCAAATGGGGATTTGTGGGGCCGGGTACCTTGTGTGCACCGTCATGATGGCCGGCGTCTCAGCTCCTAGCTTACGTGGCTTACGTGTTCACGGGCTGTGACGTCAGCGCGTGCCTGTGGCGGATTGAGGGAAGTTTAGGAGGTGGTGGGAGAGGAGGAGATTGGGATGGGCGACTGATGATGTGCTATCATCTTGTTGGTGGGGTGTTTATGCTGCCATCAACGTTGACCGTCAGAGGTGAGATTCCCCAGAGTTTGCAGTGATCTACGTCTTCAGTTCGTTTGGCGGGGTTTGGTGGGGGAATTCGGAGTGAAATGTCTCGGAAAACTGTGGGTGTGCGAGTCTCGAAGCACACTCAGTGCCATGAAAAGGCTGCACCAATGAGATAGATCTTGGTTCATGAATTACATGGATCTGAGCAGCCTATTGGTCGACCGTGAATTGCAGCCGATTGCCGGTGTGCCGAACTGCCATCTGGGCTTGTGAGATCTACTTCTCGGGTCAGGGACCGCTCCCTCCAACAAGCAGTGGCTCATGAGGCTTCGAGGCGTCACGACTCAGGCTTGCCGTTGGAAGCAAGGACTGCAGGACTGCACAAGATCTCCTCTGGTCCGGTTTTTAGAGTTCCTCTCGACGTTGAGAGGTTTGAAACGCCCAAGAATGGATCAGGTGCAGTAGTGGCGGAAGAGCAGAACTGATTGAACGGCATTTGTTGTACGGAGAGACTCCGCGTACACCTAGTATGCAGTCAGCCCAGATCCACGGCACCCAGCTTTTTGAGATCCCGCGGGTGGCGGTTGCTAAACGGAGGGCCTGTCGATCAGGCCTAGAGCCTCAGCAGTGCGTTTTGCGCGTGTTCGACCCCGGGATTGGTCGCATTCAGAGGAAGTGCTGACACGCCATTCGACAGTCGCGGACTCTGCGCAACGTCGAACCGGGCTCGCCGAATCGTCCGTTACGTGGCCTGGGTGCAGGTGGAACAGCAATTGGTGCACCACAAGGCCGACATGTTGGTGGGCTCACCACCTGCCAGCAAGCGTCCGGTTGGATTCCTTAGTTTTGGATTATGTTGAAGAGGAGATGGTACCGTAAACTCGAAAGCACAAGTGGACGGCCCACAGGGCAGCTGAAAACGTGCTGATAGAAAACCATGAAACGTGGGGAGGAATGCGACCAACGGGAAGCGGGGTGTCTGATGTTGCTGAGGTCATAGTATCGCGTACTTCCCAATCCGGACATGTGGACGGAGGAAGGCACGTGGGGATAACTCTAACCCGGCACTGTCACTCAGGCGAACGGTAGAGGTACGCGTCAGATCAGCCTCCATGACAGTGCATAGTCAGCACGGTGGGTTCTCTGTTAGTGTTAGTCAAGTTACCGAGCTCGATGGTGGAGGACAGCTGTTGTCTGACCCAGCTGGCCTTGTGCGTTATTTTGTCTCCGCGGCTGGAGAGGCCGACCGTGGTGTTCTGTTCAGCTCGTTGAGATTGAGCGAATACAGGGCCCAGTCCTTGAGCATTCTAATTCGAAGCCTACGACTTGTGCAAAGCGTGCGCTGTTTGTGGATATGTGCGTGGTGCAACGGTTGTGGCCAAACCGCCGGCATGCATGCGTCCAATTGGCCCTACTCTTCAACGAAGGACTGTTTTGAAAACTCGTCTGCTTGAAGCGTTGGTCCTGCAATTGTTCGAGGGAACCAGACAGTCGGTTCACCACGGATGCCCTCCGTCGAGTCCCACCAGCTTGGGTACGCGAAAAGTTAATTTGACTCTGTATGTAAACAAGGCGCAGCTGGTAGCGAGAATGCAGAGAATGCAGAGAGTGTTTGCGGCTCGCACTGGTAGTGTTTGTGATGCAAGAATGCTGCAGAGTCGAGCTTCCCCATCCCGTCATCTCCGTCTCCTGAAAGATGAGGCGAAATACCTGGCTCTGGTGGAGCTTAATGCGACCAAAAGCGGCAGGAGCAAGCTGGCGGTAGTGGCGACTTGGCCAAAATTAGCCGTGAGAGTCGCGTCATCCCGGTTCGTTTCTGCATGGAATTGTGGGGACGGTTGGCATGGTGCAACAGCGACACTGTCCGCGTCCAAGTGCAAGCTGTGATTGTAAGGATTGGGCGTTGAGATGAGGGCAGAGGTATTTTGGTAGGCGCTGTGTGAGCCGGTGAGGCTCACAATCTAACGAGATGACGGCAAATGCACATGAAACCGATCTCATCTCGCTGGGTGCGGGCGGGTTCCCCACGCGTTAGCGAACGCCGCATTGTGAATCCCCGCCAGACGCGGAATATTTATTTGACGGCCATCAGTCGATGAAGCTGCTGCAGTGTGCAGCGATGGCGGTCGAGGACCCTGATTCTGCCGTGTCATGATGGCTGCTCTCGATAGCTGGCTGCATGCATGCATGGATCGATGCATGCCGGGAGAGCGAGCCGCGATGAGGTTATCTCGTGCTCGAATGGAACAATATTTCATGGACGAGGGCAGCAGCTCTGGTGCCCGGCCGACGGAGCGGGGTACAAACAGGTCGGTGAGGTTTTGATTCACGGACTCGACCCTCCAGCGTCCTTATCGTATGCACGCGCAGCGGCGGGACCCCTGTCAGAACATTTAGGCCAAGGCCACGGTTGGAGCTGCGTGAGCTCTCGCGCCGTGTCGTCTGCAGCGCTCCCCCACGGCCTGCGTTCATCATCTGCTGCAAACGCTCAGCCGCGTGGACGCCTGCTGCGAGTGGGTCCTCGCAAGGCCGTCTGCAGTTGGCCAACTTTCGTTTGCTCGCTCCCATCAACGGCCGGTCTCGTACACTGTAGACGGTACACTGGGGCCCTCTCGTATTGGCCGAGGCTAAAGCGTCGAGCAGTGTATTTTTGTATTTTTGGCGAGCTCCCAGAGAGCCAATGGCACGAAATGGCACGGCAATGGCACAGCAATCGCGCACAGAGGATCAATCCAATCTGACAAACGCATCCAGTGCACAAACCTTGATGGCTAATGTCAAGAGTCGGAAGGTCCGGGGCCTGTTGCGTGGTACACGGTGCGTCGTGCGCAGAGCGTACATGGACCCTGGCCAAGGCCGCTTCCGGGCAATCAAGATTTCGCGGCGACGCAAATGCACGCCTGGAATGCGCGAGAAGGTGGGCGTGGGTGAGGAGGAGGGAGAGCCTGTGTTGTGCTGCAGTGCTGCCGTGCTGCTCTGCGCCGGAACGCGCCCCGCACGGCAGCCAGCAGACGAGTGCGAGGCTCTGGCGTGCATGACCCTGGCTGCTTGACAAAACTTGGCTGCACCTCACCGTTACCAGGCAGGCAGACGGGGTGCGTGGAACTGGAAGGGGAGAGGTAGGGGTGGTGCTCGCGCTGCTACGTCAGGGCATCAGGACATCAGGCGAGCTCGAGCACTCCAGGCATACATAGGCCAGCAACGCTCCACTCGACTCCAGGTACTGTGTGCATGATGGAGTGAGCGCTGAGAGACAGCAGCATGTGGATGGGGAGACAGCCTGGCAGGCGATCGGCGCGATACAAGCGTGGTGGTGTGCGTGCTATGTACAGCGGCGTGCTAGTCTATAGTCTATAGTCCACACTCGACCGTCCACCATCCACAATTGGTAGTCCAGGTCCACAGTTGGTAGTCCACGGTCGGTAGTCCACATCCACATCCACATCCACGTCCACCGTCCACAGTATGTACACAGTAGACGCGCTCTGCAGCCTCGACGAGAGCCAGGCTGCAGAAGCACAACCTAGAGTGAGGAGGACGTGTGTGTCAGCACGCAGGACACACAGCACCAGCAACGGCCGCGAGCCTGCAACGGCCGTGAGCTCGCAGCGGCCGACGCACTCCTCCCCCCCAGGCCCGCGCGACATGTCGGTGCAGCGGCGCTGGGGTGGGCAGTCAAGTCAGTCAAGGGCAGGGCGTCATGTGAATGGCTGGCGTGAGTGAACGTATTGAACTGGACGGGCACCCTGCGGCCCATGGCACGGACGCGCAGTCGACGACGCTAAGGCTACCCCCTTCTTTCGTCTTTCGGAGGAGAGCAGCAACCTCAGCAACTCTTCACCCGCCGCTGCTGACCGCCCGCCCTCTCTGTCTCTCTGTCTCTCTCCCTATTCTTTTTTTTTCTTTGCTGCTTGCTTCTTGACCCGCCACCCGTCCACCGTCCACGTCCACGGCCTCCGCCCGCCGCCTGCCGTTCGTCGTCGTCTGTCGTCCGTCGTCCGCCGCGCCCACGACTCGAGTGACCGTCCAATGCACGC